GACAGTTCGTTCAATTGGTATTTTCAGCATTACAACGATACCAATTTAGAACCCTACGTGGGCGTACCGTACAGTACAGGTGAAAAAACAAGTGCGTGCAGACTGACTCTATTAGGTCCGGTATGTCTTATATTTTACACTCTCGTATAGAAACGTGAAAAATTAAACATTCCTAACGATTAATTTATTAAGTGATTAACTCTTATCACTCGAAGAATATCATGGAATGATACGCTGCTTAAGTTTTATAAGATAGCTTTTTATTTGTAAGAATATTTATAAATTTATACATGTTAGGCAAACACAAAATAAGAGTATAAAAAAGAAAATTCGTATTTTACTGTTCTTTCTACATATTTTTTAACAATTATTTCCACAAATGTTAATTTCAATAGAATTTTTTGGTGTGGTGTCCTTAAAAATACAGAACGGAAGAACTAATTATATAATTCTTTTGTAATTTGAACGTGCAACTTATTTTTTATATTCTTCTTTTGTGTAAAAGCGAAGGAAACAATTGCCGATATTTAGCCTTGGTTTACTGTGGCAAGTAGCACAATAATTTGTTGTTCTACGCCTTTTATCGGCACCAGGCCAAATAAGACAATCTTTAATTTTTTTTTTTTTTTAACAAGAAAAACTCGAAGTTACAAGGGTTTTCTATGTTCATCTTTCCTTCTTACCTATAGTACCCATCTCTTCACGTTTCGTAAAATCTTGTCAAACATCTCATACTAATTTATTTATTAATATTGTACGCTGAACTGCTTGATGAAATATTTGTGAACGGATACCTGTATGCAAAACGTACGAATTAATTACAGCATTTTGTAAACCCCCTCCATCTCCTAAAAATAATTGTTTCCATAATTTTTTAGTCAGGTTTTAATTAACATCTTTGCAGTATCTCGGGTACTCGACGTAGTTACCACCCTCTTGTCTTTCCATGTCAATAATAAAGAATTATTACTTCGAATTGCTAATGGTTTATTTGTAAACTTGAAAATTTTTATTTAATTATAATTGATGGTATGCATTTTCTTTTTGAAATACCTATTGGTAAAAATAAGGTATTCTTTTGCTTTGGGTACTTTTTGTAATAATTTATTATAGAGATGCAAGACTATCCTTGTATTTAAGAAAATTTAGGTTTGATTAAATTATCCGTAGTTATTTTTCCATAATAGAGCAAAATGTATTCAGTTTCTGCATTTGCCAAAACGTATATCCACATTCTCCATTTTTTAGATTTCATTGAATTATCAGTAATCAAAAATATTTTATCTTTATATCCGACCATAGTTCCATTGATCAAAGTTTCCATGCATGGAATAAAATGTTCTTTAAATTTGTCATCCAGACATTATAAAAAGTTACTAATCTTTTGCAATCTAGTATTCAGAATTAAATTTTGTACCACGTATTCGTTAATATGAAACACTTGAAATATTTCATGAAATCTTTTTTTTTTGAACGTCTTGCCAAATCATATATTTTTGTATAAAATTTTGGACACCAGTGTTTTAAATTTCCAAGAAGAATAAGCCTTCTATTAAGAATAACGTCAGGGAAGTTTTTTATTTTATTTCTAATAATATTCTCCCGATTGTTCCAGGTAGAATATTTCAACAACTTTTGTTTACTTATTTTTAAATTTGTATATGTGTTTATTTATTGAAAAATATATTCAATCGGTTCACCCATAGAAGTGATTTGAAAATTCGGAATGATTCCGTAATTGTTGTTAATTCAAAAGGGAATCTTTTGCAGTGTTTCTTTATTGCCTAACACATTTTTCCAATTCATTGGAAAATCATTCACATCGTTGTCTTCATCTGAATAATTTAGAAGTAGTTTTTCGTTTCCTTGCATAAACTTCGTTATTGCAATTATCAAAATCATTGATATCATTATGAAATTCTTCAATGTAAAATTCATTATCGCTATTGTCTACTTCTTCGTTAATTTTTGCATGGCTTTTGTATTGACTTTATATTTCAGAAAAAATTAAATAAAATTGAATAAAATATTCAAAAATGATGGCAGATATTTTCATAGATATACTGTATAGTACACATTGCTTTGCAATGCACTAAACATAATAATGATAAAATTCAAAAATTCTGGCAGTGATACTACCGGTTGGGGAGGTAAGGATTAATACTTAATTTTCTAGATTAAATACGCGGGAAAAGTGAATTAATTTTTCATGAAAGATTCATGAACAGAGTCTGTAGGTCCCTGAAAGGTTAAATTAAGAAATAAGTCTGTTAATGAAAAACAGTGTGTATCTCAAGTTACGTATCGTACAAATACGAGCATGATAAAATGCTGTTTCACGGTACATTAGTTTTCGGTTCGCGCGTACGTTTAAGTATGAATTCATATGATACAAAGCGAGGAGTGCACGATCGATCTGTGCATCTCGTCTTGATCATTCTAGAGTCCCTTTATATTAACAAAGAATAAATAAATCCGTATGTTCAATTGATCGATTCTCTTTGTTTCTTTTATTAATAACGCAGTGTGTTAATTATGAAAGCTCAAGTCTTTTGAAAATATGTTTATAGCGCCTATGTTACGAGAAACTGATCTAGTATCCTCGGATAATATAGAAAACTTCGATACATATGGACAAATTGTTGACAGTGATTGAGCAGTTCACGTGAAAATTGCCGTAGTTTGTTAACATCGATACATTATACAAAAGTTATGTAGTGAATCTGTCACTCATTCCTAAAGAAACAAGGCAAGTTGACAGTAAGAACTTAGCAAACACATTCGTAGTGTTATGCCATGCAAAAATGTTTCAATGTTAATTACTCTCTGTTTCCTAGATTTAAAGTGTGAAAATGTGTAACCGCGTTTCTACTATCATATCCTTTATCTAATGTAAATGCTTTTTTAAGTCATACTATACTGGAACACTTTAAGAATAAGGTCATTCATGTTTATTTTTGGTGTTAACTCGAAATGCCGGTTGTTTAAAAGCACGAAATACATTTGTACATATATAAACAAACTTCGCGAGTTTTGTGAACTTTCGTAAGATTAACAGTCTCAATCGCACAGGTTAGTCTCGATTTCACTTTATTCACTGACTCTTAGTTTTTGCTTTATCTTTCTCGTCCTTCTTCTCCTCTTCTTTCTTCTCTTCCTTCTTCGCTTCCTTCTTATCTGTTTCTTTTTTCTCCGCGTCGCGATTGGTTAACTTATTATTAATCAAATTATGTAGCGCGATTACGGATCTAACGAGAGCCGCGAGATACACAACTAACATTTGATCATTCGTTTTCACGTACAGCGAATCAACGAAGCTACTTTGCGTCATATCGGGTAGTAGATTAAAAATGTCCTGAAGTTGGTAAACGATCTGATGATTTATCGGTAATTTGCCACTACCAACTTGGAGCAGGTAGTCTCTAATTTCCCTAATTTGTTCATGAAGACCTTTCAAACCTAATAGCTGGTTTGTAATTCTCTGGCTAAGGGTACCGACGGTAGTATCTTTAATATCTCTCAATAAGTGTTCTACGCCTACTTCTTCTGCTTCCTCTGCACCAATTTCGCTAGGGATGTGTTCAAAGGTTTTAGATGTCGGCGATCCATCCTGTAAATAATGTGAGTTTGCAATTATGTTCAAAATAATAAACATACTAGTAGAAACGCACTAGTATATTATGAAATATACTATGTACTATGGAACTTACATCGTGAACCTCTTCAACAGCTTGATATGCTTCTGTTGGAAGACCAAGATCTTTGGGTTTAGCATCGATGATGACCAACACGGAATTAGGACAGTATCTCCTAATAAGTTCGTTAATAGCGACATCATTTTGATGTAATTTAGGTCCGGTGTGATACCATCCTACTACCTTTTCACGAGCTAATAATTTATAAGATATTAAATTCATATATTCATTAATATACTTCAAATGTATGTATATCAAATCGAATCCTTACCATTAACTTTTTTGAACATTCCATACATGTTTTCCAAATAGTCATGGTCAAGGAACCATACGCTTTTGTCTTTGTCATCCTCATCAAAGGGCACTGCAAGAAAGACAACAACGATTGGCTTTTCTAACTCGAATTTCTTATTTACACAGGTTTTGGAATCAGTATGAAATCACTTAAACTAGTCAAATTGCAAGTCACTGTGTGATACAAAATTACGATTCATTTATAAAATGGTTGCAAATACATTAAATTACATTGGATTCATCGCAGAAATGCTTAATAATTTTAAAAACCAAGGATAAACGTTGGCAGAGTCATTCTAACCTGCAAAACTGTTTGACACGTCCAGGACACCTTTGGCCCTCCAGCAACCCAAAAGAACACCGACAACTCTTTTTTGATTACCAATCTTTCCCATACGATTAAAATGATCCACTACACTCAATAAAACCAAAGGGTGAACCACCACTTTTGTAGTCACAACCTCTTGACTCGGCATTTTTGGGCTGTTTCTTTGCTTTCTACAATGAACATAGCCGCATTAGAAAGACTTTAAGTCACACGCTGGCCAATCGCTAAAAACCCTTCTATATGCAAACAATTCAAGGTTCGTAATTTAAAAAATTTTCAAACTATACTTTTCAAGAAATCTACAAATAACCATGTTTACTATAAAATTCGTTAAATAATTTCTACCGAAATTGAACATGAAAATTTACTTGTAATAAATTATTTTATAAAGAACTTTGTTGGGATACTCTCCTTACTTTGAGTATTTCTAATTAAATATTATCCAAAGTGAAGAATCTACAAAATTTACTTTTTCATTTAAAAGCTGTTAAAAACTAAATAAATATTTGTTTGCATGTTACAAATTTGACGAGGGATTACAACAGATTATAGTTAGCAGCACTGTCGAGGAAACACGTTGTTCCACAAGTGTATATTTCGTTTCGTTTTTCAACGGTTGTTAAACGGTAATTATTTTTATTGTAATGTTTTCGAAGTTTTCAAATTCTTGCGACATCGATGAAAATAAGACAAGTTTCTGTGTATATTTTTTAATAGCAATTCAGTCAGACATTTTTTGGAAGACAGTATGAACGCATTTCATGTTTCCATTGCACACATGTCCTGCGACAGCATGCTTACCAACTGCTGAATTATACGAAGAGCGCGAAATACAAAATTACAGTTCCTTTTTTTATTATATTGTAATGGTGTTTTAAGATTGCAGACCTCGTGAAAAGTAGTTTCCGAGGTTTGTTGTTATTTTTAGAAATAAATACATGTCTGATATTGGGCCTACTAAGTTTTTATAAAATTTAATGCGTTGTAGTACATCTTAATCTTTCTAAGTAGTAATTTTGAAAAATTGAAGATATACTTGCTATTTTCCATTCTAATCTCGGTACTGTATTTGAATATGTGAATTGTTGTGAATTCATGATATTCGTGACTTTAAGAATCTTTTGTGAAATATTTGTTGTTTATTACTAAGTTCAGGACTTTATTTAAATATGAGTACTTTGTTTATGAGATTCATAAGAAACAAGTCACTTTTTGTAGGAGTACAATCATTAGAACTTCTTTTTTTTTCACATTTTAATGCAATCTTTATATTATATTCCAGAGGATGTCGAAGCCCATAGTATTCGTGACCGGAAACGCGAAGAAACTGGAGGAGTTCGTGGCTATTTTGGGAAAGAATTTTCCACGAGAGATTACGAGCAAAAAGGTCGATCTTCCAGAGTATCAGGGAGAGATAGACGACATTTGTCGCAACAAATGTCGAGCTGCTGCGGATCTGGTAAAGGGTCCAGTTATCATCGAGGACACCTGTTTGTGTTTCAACGCATTAATGGGCTTACCTGGTCCTTATATTAAATGGTTTTTGGACAAACTCGGTCCAGATGGTCTTTACCGGATGCTGCATGGCTGGGGAGATAAAAGCGCGGAAGCAGTCTGCACTTTTGCATATTGCGCCGGAGAACCGGAAGATCCGGTATTATTGTTCCAAGGTCGAACACAGGGGACCATCGTGAGTCCGCGAGGACCGCGAGACTTCGGCTGGGATCCTTGCTTCCAGCCTTTGGACTACGACAAAACTTACGCAGAACTACCGAAAGAAACGAAGAATCGAATTTCTCATCGTAGCAGAGCACTGCAGAAATTAAAAGATCATTTTATGAAGAACGTCGAGAGTCACGAGTCAGCGCACGACTCCTAGAGAGAGGACAGCATTGATCACATCTATCTCCCGATCTACATTGTACTTTTTTAAATCAGTTTTCATAATAACTGATTTGCAAAAATAAACATTTATACTGTGAACCTACTTCTGCAGTCATCCTTTAGTATTTATAGTTAATACAGTTCGTTTGTTAAACATCGGTATTAAACTAAAAAAAGTTGTAGTTGATACGTTATTTAACTTCTTTATTTCACCGCGAAAGTGCGGAGCAGTTCGATAAAAGTCAAAAATAAACATTTACGTACTTCTCTCTCTTCCTTCCTCCTTTAAGCAAGGTATCTGGATCCTCTCCTGAATTTAACGCGCCACTAACCGCATCGTTACATTTATTTGATTATCAATCACAGGTCTACCGTTTCGTTACCACTTTTCTGCGAATATTTGTTTACGACCTTTTTAACAATAATATTTTCCTAAGTAACATATCAAGTAAACATATGGTTTAACTGCTGCAAACGTTAATCAACATCTCATGAATCGTAATTACGACCAAAAAGAGAGTTACCATACCAAACATAAGAGCCTTTACGTAAATACCGCGTGCAACCACGTATTATTTCAACAAAATTAATTATTCACGTCTTGAATAAATATTAACAGCTTGGCAAAACATAAATAAATGTTTCCACAAAGCTTGAAATTGATATGCGAACGGTAGTTAATATCCCGCGAATCGCAAGTACTGACGATATTATTGTTCACACGTTTGCATGATGCAATATTGTTTAAAATGTTGTTATACTATTTTTCTTCGAAATAATCGCACGATTATCGACGATGAAAATTGTTTTTTACCGAATTCAACGAAACAACCTCATTACTATTGTTATTCTTTTATGTATTATTGGTTTCTGATACGAGTAACGATAAATATGCAATAATTTCCGATTTGTTGCTTAAGGGGACATTATTGATAGATTCAACTGAACTCTTTAATCAATTGCTCAGCTTGGAACATCTGTACTTTTAAAATATAAAGAGAACTTCAAGGAATGCTTTTTATTGCTCTGCCACATTTTTACTATAGCAAATCCAATAACAAGTTCCATTTATCGTTAGCTATATTCGAGCGATATAAACCAATTGTGATCGTTTAATTGGTTAACGTGTTATAAATATTAGGTCGCCCCAAAAGTTTCTTTCGCTTTATTAATAAGTAATACATGCACAATGTTTAATGTTTTATGTTACGTTACTGAATTGTGCACGATCCATTTCGCTTCATTACTGTTACAATATCGATGTCTATAAAATTAGATTGTTTATTTATATAAATACTGCCACGTAAAATAATTGAGTGCAACACGCGAAAGAAACTTTCGGGACAACCTAATACATAAATATTTACATAGATCTTTTGGACAATTATTGTTATTAAAATTATTTTATCATTAAAAATTATTAAAAATTGTATAATAGAAAGCTGTCTTACACAAACTTTTGTACAATCCATACCGCACAATACATCATTAGCTAGGTTTTCTTGAACTAAAATTAAGATTTGAAGCATTTATTAAATGAGGTAAATAAAGTATTAAATTATTTCAGTTATTAGACTTTATTGATAAATACACCTAACTTCGAAGAAATTTGTAAAACTTCATATTTAACGGCAAGTGATAAATAATTATAGTTTTCTTAGCATTTTTTATAATTCAATTATGATTTAATGGGCTTTATGATATTGAAAGAAATGTAAAAAATACAAGTGAAAAGAAAGTCATATCTGTAGGAACTATAATTAAATTTGTAATTTAATATCGCTTTATATGTTTTTGTTATTCACTTGTATGTATATCATTTTTATCTCACGTTGACATAAATAAATATAATGAAATAACTGACTAAATCGTATTCTTTTTTCTTAATTTATAATTTTCTTCACACAAAAAGTCATGACTTTGTTTTACACGGTATTCTGAGAATGTTCCATGTAAATCGGGGAAATAGAGTATTTCGGTTGTTTGGTCGATTTACTTGATCATTTGCGTTTCGCGAAAACATAAGACTACGAGGTTATCGTTACCAGTTCCGTTTCAATTTCAGATTGGGATAATGTAAATAAATAAAATCAGTAGTATGTACGGACTGTTGTCTTGTAATTTAAGATTATTTTATCAGAATGGTTAACAAATGGTAAGCATTCGTTAAATCTTTTCCCATGGAATTCCCATAGTCTTATGGAAACGAAATGTAATAGAATTTTCATTATGTGAACGTATTATTATATGAACGATCTTCTGTGTGAACGTTCTATTCCATGAACTGTTTGTTTGATATTATAATACTGTTTACATGTAAACATAGAAGTATTTACATATTTGCTTCTACGAAATGAATTCTATTTAAAATATTATATAATATTCACAGTTGCAAATTATTTTATTAAAGAAACATGTGATATAATAAAGAAACTTGATTATGAAGAAAGTGCGAGAAGTTTAGCACAAAAATATAGTGTCGCAAACTTTACAATTACCAATATACAAAAACGGAAATGTGATATTAAAAACTATTTACAACAAAATTTGTTCAATACAGAAATGAAAAAATATCCGTGAGAGGGTCAATTATTTCTGGTAAAACTCAAAAATTTGGGATCCATAACATTTATTTTTTTAATTTTGTTAAAAAGAAGGATGTTTAAAGATTGTTTTTTTTTTTTAATTTTCTATTCTAAATATATATGAAGTTATCTACGCACAAATTGTATTTAGTTCATTTTATTTTGTTTTAAGTATTAAGTAAAACTGAGTGTCAACCACTCGTTCTATTAGATGAAAATTTGTTTACCATAGAATTAACATTTTTGTTCCCCAATTAATTTACATACCGGAGATTCTACTGCAAATTAACGTGAATCTTGACTCGATATAAATAAAACGCAGAAATGTGATATATTTTATATGAAGTATAGGGTTTCCTGACTTAAAATCCAATTTACTGACTGAGCACGTTAAGTTGCCGAGTGGTCTACAAACTAGAAGGGATCGAGGCAAAGGGACTGGGTCGCTCGCTCCACCCAGTACATAGTAATATGTCACAAAATCACGGACACGGGAAACTTAACACTTTATCTACCGGGCTATTTAGAAACAGACTGTAATTCAGAAAAGAATTTTCCACAGTATCATATGCCAATCTAGGCTGACAATAATGCCTCCATACTGTTACGTTGAAAGCCAAGTCTGTTTCCAAACACTGAACATTGTAAGTAGACAACCATCGACACAGTAAATAAATTCGAATAGCTAAATATTGCAATTAAAAAGCCTAAAAATAGGCTCCCGGTAAATAAAGTGTTAAGTAGTTGTTCGATCGCTGTAATGTTTCACTGTTACGCCAATTCTTGTTTCTCTTTGCCTTTCTTTGTCGCTCGGTAGACTTTTGATGTGAGCCGCACGGTTCCGTGCAATAACTATTTTGTGATGGTTAGTCGCGTTAATAAATGGTATGATACGAGCGGTGGAGCGGCGAATTTGATTCGACGACAATTTAACGTGGTCGAATAGTACCTCTTGTTTAAAGTAAGGGGAACTTTAATTAATCTTAGTATGTACGTTATCTCGCTTACTATTGCTTTGACAGTAAAAATGCATATAATACGTATAATTATCGAGAAACAAAGTTTGAACACTTTTTTATTCCATACAAATTTTCGGCACCATTAATAGTAACTGAGAAACATGTAAAGTCTAATGTGCTTCATAAACAACTAACTAAAAACATACATATCTATATAACTTATCTTCCAACATTTAAATGATCATTTTCTTTGTTTATGCCGGTACAGGATGTACCAAATTTGTAAAGCACCACATTAAATTAAATGGAAGCATAAAATTATTTAATTTTATTCAATTCCAGGTTAAAGAGAGATAAAGATTATCCTTCAATTATTCTAATCAATTATATAACACCAATTTACTCGAAGAAATTAGATGTTATAAGTTAAAAAAATGTGCAATAACGCTATTATTAATACGTAGTCGTATTAATGAATTTAGTGAATAAGTTATTAATGAAATAGTGAGTTACTAAGCGCACGGAGGTCTAAAGAGCCACGTAAATAAATGCAGCAGATTTTAATTTGGGAAACGATAGAATCAAGCAATAGGTCTTGCCAAGAACTATATTTAATGGAATTTCTTTTAATTAATTCCTGCATTTGTTTTATTATAAAATCAATATAAGATTTAGTTAATGTTTCGTTAAGGAAAATCAGAAGTTATTTAACATTGTAAACAAACAGTTTAATCGAATAAGGTATTACTGAGTTTGTTATTAAAATTTGTCGTTTTAATTCTTTACAGTCCTACGTCGAGTAAGACTCGACAAAATAAATTGAAATTAGAAAATCCAGAGTGCATAGGATTCATAAATTTGTTCATGATTTATGTGCCTTTATGTATCGGTAAGGAGGCTCACACGAATTAGGATACACCCGGTTTATCTAACCATTTTTGCATTCATACAATATTTCTTATCCTAAAAAACGTTGAGTATTTTAGACAATTATGATATTATTATTATCATTACTATATTATTGTTACATTGTTTGTGATCTTTTTGGTAGGTCTTCTCAAATTAATATATTCGGTTAATTGATTAAAATAAGTTTTAAAACTGGTAAATAGTAATAATATTAGATTGTAGCCAAAATATCTTGCGTAAATTTTTAATAAATAAAAGTGATCAATGTCATATGGTGCCTCAAAATGCTTAATGAGAACGAAAAGATGAAAATGAAGGATGAAAAAACAAACTCTGTTACGTATTCAATTATCTATTTCTGCGAAAACGTTAAAGAACAATGAGGAGAGTAGAACTCTGCAAAACTCTCGATTAGGCGGTATGTACATTTTGAAGAGTCATTCATATAAAAGAGCAATTGCGACGATACCCGAACGGGTTATCTTTTGCATTGATTACACCGGCACGTAACACCCTCTCGTGAGGGGTTATCGTTTACCCGTATTCACCGATTTTTCGACTTATAAAAGGGGAAAGCCTCGAGGTAGCGTCAGTAGTCATTCTTCGCGTGTCGCGCTACGATGAATGTTCTAATTGGTAAGTAATGAAAA